GTTCGCGTAAGACTTCTAGTTGGAGAAAATTGGAATTTAAAAATTCGTCTGTTGCGCGTACACTTCGACTAACGCGTCTGTCTATTACTCGGCGTTTCCACTTGTCTTGATGTTTGCAGTCGTTAACGGCGCTATGGTATTATTCATGTGCCTGTCATAATCGGTTCTAACTTGTTACGAGATAGTAAGGTCAATGGAACGCAAATGATAGCGTACCACCATCAATGTTCACCAATACCGATACTAGTAGAAATATCGAGTAATGGACAGACGCATTAACGCGAGTCAGACTGAATCACGAATCGGGTGAATTCTCAAAAGATGTCAATTGCTGCAACTCTGGTTTCTTTAACGCGTTCACTGCTCAAGCAATTTTTAAATGCAGGGCTACATTTTAGCGCGATCTTGATCACGCGAGAAGATAAATGAGAAAATCGGGTATAACGATTTTGTACGATCCAATAAGATAGAGAACATGTGCAATAGATTTTCGAAGAATAGAAGGAAAGACGTTTCGAAAAACAAATTCCTGAGGTTGGTTATTTTTCTAACTCTATTAACTGATTAAAATTTTTAATAGAAGATTAAATATTCTCCGCCTTGTGACGAATGGCTCCTTGTGCTATCCTAGCGTGAAAAAAGCTTCGAAGACGGAAAGGTCGGCGAATATCGCGAACATAATCCCCGCCTACGGTTAGCATAGAGAGCCACGCGAAACAGAGCTTCCACACTGGCGTAACCGCGTGATTTACGGGTGGACAGAAGCGCAGTTACCGTTTTGCCGATGAGGAAAAACAAACGAATGATAAAACGGCGATGAAATCGGCCTTTCAACCGTATGACTAATCGGGCTCGGTACGCCGGCACGCGGCACTAAGCACGATTTATGTGTACCGATGAATCGTTCACGCACAACAAGCGGATTCCGTTATTTGGGGAAAACGCGCGAACCGCGTCAGACATCCGCGATTTATTCGCGAACGTTGCAATCACGTCGAAAGCTCAAAAACTCCAAGAGAAATACAAGCATCCGTGAATTACAGCGTCTGGAAAACTGAATTTTTGAATCGCGAGAAGACTTAACCACGTAATGCATTTATTTTTTACTTTGTTCCCAATTTTTTTTCTCTGCAATGGAGAGATTATTACCACGTACTGGCAAAGAAAAATAACGGGCTCGTGGAACGTTGTCGCGCGAAACCCAAGCCCGAGGAATTTTAATGCAAGAACTCCACGAGACGCCTTAAATCGCGAACGAAGGATACGACCGCAGAACTCGCGTGTCATTCACGCACCAGATCCCTCGAAATCGGTTAGAAATAGTAGAGGATTTTGCTGGTGGCACGTAATGCCTCCGCAATATCGACTGTCACTTATTACACACAACACCGAAGATTTTTTCATTGGTTCCCAGCAAAAGCCGATAAACGATCGATGTAAAAGGATCTCCGTTTTTATCAGAATGCATACTATCAGCTTTGCTACTCGCTTTACATTTTTTGTCGTCAATTTTCATCGCCTTCCGCATCTATTGCCAATTACATCAGAATTTTACGAAGAAAACTTGTTAAACAATCTCTCGAGACAGGATCAAGTTGCTATTTCTAGAACCAGAAACGACCACACGAGATTTCCCCGTGTTAAATTTGCTTTCAATATCGTGTCCTTTAATATTAAAGCATCGCAGCTTTAAAATTTCTTTCGATAAATTCTGACATATAATTATGTTGTACCAACAACCTACTGGAACGGTTGCTGCAATTCTGATCAGCTGATTACTTAAAGAAATATTATCTTTGGACTTTCACATCTGGTCTGCATAAAAAAAAAATCTTAGAAAAAGTTATGCATTTCGGGTTTCGAAAATAAATGAAGATTGATGGTGTTACTACGCGCACCTGACTCTTTGATACATGAAGCATATTCGTTAGAAATTGGCCAGCTCGACGGCGAGGCGCGACGTTTCGCGGTTGCAAAATGTCCGGCTAATACGTTTTACATAACCGGTCATCGTCGTTTCGAGTCGATCGGAGCGAGACGAATCCTTGGAAAATCTCGCGACGCGACTGTGTTCCCCGGGCGTCAGTGTTTTCGCCGCTTGCTCGGCACGCTCGCGAGATTAATATCCCCGCGAATCGTTTCGCAAGAGGCTATCGAATCCAGCGATCGCGTGACCAGAACCGGAGACCGAGTTTTCATTTTAGACGGCGGTTAATGGCGTTTTTCGTGCGTGACTCCGCGAATGCTGGGACGAAAAACGCGCCGAGAAGAAATTGAACGATGTCGTTTGCAGCCTCGTTGCACAATCCTCTTCTTCTCAAGCCATTTCCTTCGAACGACAATAGGCCAATAACATTTTATAAAACGTGAAATTAATCACGCTTGATTCTCTATCTATATAACTATTGGAAATTATGATTTTTTTTATCACCCTTAAGAATCAAGCGTTATAAACAGCTTTAATGCTAAATAAATAATTTGAACAAATGTTCAGGATAGCCCAGAACACCTGAACAATCAACGCGTTATGGAGGAAGAAAATGAATAACTATGCAATTACTGGCCATAAAAATGTCAGGTTCAGCAATGACGGAGACCATTTAACGACTCGAAAGGTGCAAGGTTCGGTTGGGGAGTTCGACCGGAGGAGAGTTTGCGGTGAGTCACGAGAAGGATTTTCTTCTATTAACTCAATCGGCTGGAAATCGTCTTCCTGACAGACGCGTTGCCACTCGATGGTTGCGTAACGGTCGAGCAATCCCGTATCAGACGGACGCGTTAGTTCAGCAGCGAACGTTACGACAGCCCGGGGCAAGGACGTGGACCTGTCTCGCCGACGGCTACGATCTCGTGAATGAACCCGACGAGTTCGCGGATTTACGCTACTGGCTCGCCCGCGTGCGTTCAACTTCTTCCTGTAACAGTACTCTGCCCTGCTTATTGCAAATTAGGGATTCTTGCGAATCACCCCCAATTGTTTAGATTTCTTGTGGACGACTGCCATGTGATTAAAAACCAGGGATTAATAGTAACAGGTATCCTAGAAACTGTGAAAAGAATTAAAAAAATATCAATTTCAATTATTCTAGAACCACCCTGTGCACTCCCCCTCTAATAATTGGCAAAATCATCTTGCACAGCTAAGAAAAAGAAATAATTTCAGTAGCACCGAGACAACTAGGTCTCTCGAAACGCGTATCGAAACTTTTACTTCGAAGAGTGCTTAGGCTCTCTCGAAACCATCGGACCAGAGAATACTTCCTGACACGCGTCGTTGCCGTACGAAAACTAACAATCACGGGCAGAATTGTTTTTTCACCGGCAGCGCGCAATTAGCCGGCGATTGTCGCGATTTCTTTCGGGATCCTAATTACGACGATGAATACAGATGAGCGTACGGATAAACGAGATGCTGGCGACCGTGTACCGTGCTTCGCGATCCGAGGCGAGGCACCGCGAACGAGAATGTAGAAAGTCGCGGCATAATGCCTGAATCTTGCGTTTTGCACGCTTTTACACGGTCACGAAGAGGAACCTAAACCAAGCCGCGCTACCGCTCTCCCTTTTCTAACGACGGATGTTTATCGCGGTCAGAGTCGCTCGTAGAAGGTGTCAGGCTCGCGTCGGATTAAAATTGATGCCGCAAAACAGACCAGCAATTACCAACACCGATAATTCGCGATTAACCGACAATCGTAGAAAGTTTGCGTGAAAGGTTCAGAGTCGCTTCTGACCGATTTTCGTGATTCGCGCCGACTCGAGTCCGGATTTCAGTCAAAGCTCACCCTGCGAAATATGATCATTTATCTCCTGTCACAGTCGTTCTTGGCTTTTTTTTTAAGTCGAGAAGGTAGTTAAAATTTTTAGTCCCCCTGAGAATGGTTCGCTAAGGACCCCTAAGGTGACGCTGTACTACAGTGGGAATGAGAATCTCTTCTGCTGTGTTTACATAGCTTCCGAAAGCAGTAACTTACATAAAAGATTTGTAATACGATTAGTCGAAGTTTTTTTATATTACAACTCATCGTTATATAACGCTGCGTTTCATTCATGCAGTAACAGTGAAGACGGTGATTATATTATATTAGGATTTATCGTGATTCAACAGAGAATGAAACTGTGATTGATATTCTACCACGGATACGAGTTCAAGTTTAACTTCGCCGAGTAGAGTTCTCTTAAATCTGATTTCCATGGTGAAACATGCACTTTTGCTTTTAATTTTATATAAAACGTCAAAAACTAGGGTTTCTTTATGAATAAATTGTTCGATTAATCTTTATAAGGGACTCGTATTAAAGATCGAAACGTTTACTAAATAGATCGACTATACTTGGATCATGTATGCGATACACAAATATATGTAAAACGTTACAATGTCAAAAATTGCATGGGAGATAATCTTAAAGCGAACATGGTTGTTTTTCACTAGATTTATAAACTCAGAGCACAAGACAATGATCAGAACGATAGATCCACAGTAACCAGTTACAGAGATGGGCAAAAAGAGAGACGTTCGATAAAAATTGCAATCTGAATTATTCGATCAAGATTCTGGCCATCTCGATAACCGGAAATTCGGAAGGAGAAATGTATGAAACGAAACCGTGTTCTCACTTGCAACAGCGACATTCTGTCTTCCCGGGTCGATCTTCCGTCCGTTCGACTGTCAATTCGTACGACTGCCAACGGGCCACATTTTCCGCTGGTCGGTGTAAATAGGATCGACGTATCACCAGTCGCGCGTCCACCGATCGAACGAGTCGCGCGCGTGCCGAAACACCAGCGTTAAAGTCTCCGGCACGATCGAACAGAGCCGCGAGCCGGTTCGCGCTATCTGCTCTCGCGAAAGTCTATCCCCCACCAATTTCACCGCCCCCTCCAATTAATCGTGGCTCGAAACCGACCGAGAAAAGCTTCCCTTTCCCATCGCGATTCTCTTCCGTGGCACCGTGGTCTCTCTCTCACTCTATTTGCATTTGCGCGGGAATATTACTTACGATTCTCATGGTGTGGCCGGTGGAATCCTAACCGTGGAGCAGGTGTTGTCACGTGGCGAGCGTTCTTGCACGTTGCACCAGTCGGGCGCGAACTGCAGTCGAGTTCTGCGTTCGATCTAAACGCGATCGACGAAGCCCAAGGTGGTGGTGCCAAGCGTTTCCTCTGTCAGGGAGGGTACGTTCTCGGGTGGCTGGAAAGGAGCAACGGAGGCCTCCTGCCGGCGGAAGGTCGACGAGTAGACTCGGTTAGTCCGAGAGCAGACCAAACGGTAGCGATAAAGGTGGATCGTAGGTGTATGAGCTACGCTTGCCGAGCACCGGGACCGTTTGACGCGAGGTGGGGGCTGTTCCTGGGACTTATATGTCGCCGTTGGAGGCCGCTGTGGCTCTTTTTCCCTGCCCCCTTCGCCCCCGTGGATCCGAGCCCCTCTATAGCGGCCCTTGACGATGGTCAAGGTGAACCCTGCCTGCCGGGGACACCACGCGACCGACTGATCGCCGTACGACAGAGATCGCTTCAGGGAAATCGTGACGACAAGCCGCCTTTTCAAACGCTCGACCGCGAAATACTGGGTTTCACGTTTACAGATCATCGACTATAATTCCGAATGGACATCGAAGACTAACTTTATAATTAGTTTCTTTGTAAATTCGATATATTTAACAGAGAAAATGAACTAGTCGAAGAGTCTGAAAGCTATGTTATTTGGAACTGTTTCAATTTTAATGGAAGCATAATTGTTTTAACAAATTAAATTTGAGTACAGTAGTTCTTATCGATATCTATTCTACACACTATGAATAGTGCTTCTAAAAATTCCGAAAAAGGCGTAAAAACGAATCTGTCGATATCCAAATAGTTTCCGACAAGCTATAATTCGACATTTGGTGACTTTTCCGAAGGTCTGGCGCTCCAACTTCCTGCAATCGATGCGATTCTCGCACCTTGATTTATTTACCTAATGAAATCCACGTGTCGCGACGATTCCAGAGTAAAAAAAAACCGATAAAATATTATGCGTCGTCGAGGAGCGTAAAATCCCAGACGACTAATGTCATTGCAAGATCGAATTATCGTCGATTACCCACGCGTTCTCAGTCACCGCGATATTCACGATATCCTGGTGACGTTTCTGAACGATTATAGCATCGTGCTCTGGATCGGAATCCGGATCTGTAACCGCAATTAATGACGTCAGGCGCGGTCGGAAGAACAACTGTCCGATCGGCGAGAAATTTCATAAGAACGGCCATTGTTTCCAGAGAAATTAACACGAATCGTCCATGCCTGGTTTTAAGGAGCTTTTTCGGTATATAATTGATTTATCGCGACGTTGTACAGGTGGTTTCGATCTAAAAATACATTTTGTCGATTAGAAATAGTATCGATCGTCACAGAAAAATGTTTCGACAGAAGAGCAATTATACAAGCACGGTCGAGTAATGAAACGTTCGAACTGTAGACTGTTTCGAAGATAATTTCAGCTTCCAAATAAGTAAGTCGTTGGTAAACGAGTGAAAGTTCTCGTGAAATGTGTTCTTGACCTTTAAGGAGAGGAACTTTTAAGAATCGTCCGTCCGTCCATCGAGGATCGTTTCGATTTTCACTCGAGGCCGGCCCTCGTGAGAAAGGGCTCGATAATGGACGACGTGAGACTCGTCGCGTCGGTTTCTTGACCTTCGTTAAAAATGGAATCGCCGACCTTAACCCGATAATTAGCGTGCTTTCAGCCGCGACACGGTGCAAGGCGACCGCCCGATGCTTTCCAATACCACGGGCAACGCGCGGAAGGTTGATCCTTGAACGATCGGCGCAACCTGGATCTCCTAAATTCGATTCGTTCGACGAGGACAAGAAATATATCAAAGCCGTTGCGCGATCGTTGATCTCACCGAAAGTTGCCTGCCCGAAACGTTCGAGAATTTCTTATTTCCTTATGGTTATTATGCAACGCTATTTTAGCAACAGTGTGAGATTCGAGGCAAACAATCTCCCAAGGAATTCATAAAAAGGACAATGTTTTCTTTGTACCTGATGCCTTGGCGTGACAATAGAGAGGCAGGACAATGAAATTGGGAAAGAGATTTCTCTTGGCATTGAGAGGAATATTATATTAATATTCCGATAGATCGCAGAACGACGTTAAACGCGCGCGAATAAGCGCGTAATCCACGCCGAGTTAATTAGGAATCTGGATCGATCAGCGAATTACGCGACCAATTACCTCTACAGCCTATTCGCGGCAATTATCGCGGCAGAATGCAAACTATCTCCGGATTTGTCTTTAATTAGTACGATTCAAGACTCCCAACTTTTATCGCTGTATCGACAGAATTGGGAGCAAAGAAACTCCCCGTTGGTAAACGTTCGATGATCATCGCGTCCGAGAAATACGGAGTCTGGCGGGGTTCGCGGGTTCAAACAGCGACCAGAAACTTTTAATTAGGTTCGATCCCCGCGAACGTAGCACAAAGGCTAACGCGAACGAATGCGATCTTGCACGGCTACGATCGAAACGAGTTATTTCGCTTACGCTTTATTACGGGTAATAAGCGAGCAATCCGAAACCCGAACGTACGGTAAATTGCATCGCGGGATACGATTCAACGATCCATGATCTTGAATCAACATCCAGCAACAAGAAATAGCGGTTTGTCTTTAGATCTCTCCTTGAAACGTGCATTTCTTTTCTCGTTCCAAAGCACGAACAACTTTTAAACACAACCACCAGCGATATAATTATCCTCCTTCGAAATATCAATTTCGTGCACGAGATATCGACCGTGGCCAACGGAGCACGAACGACGGGCCTTGATCGATCGGGATCGCCCTACAGAGACACCGTCCTTCGTTGCATTTTCGATCGTCGATCTCGCTTCCTCCGGTTATTAAATTGGCGCGTTGGAGCGGACGGCAGAAACGAGAGAGAGAGACGAACAGGGAACGGAATGAAAAAGAAGAAAAAAAAAAAGATGAAGGTCGACGGTGAACTGTGCAATTACCGTGGGACGTATCGTCGTAAAATTGGAAAATTAATTGTACGGACAGCGGCTGAGAATCCTTATGAAAGTCTAACGAAGGTTCCAGTTATTCCGCGACCAGCGCGATCGGAAAAAATGGAACCCACGGTGAAACGTTCCAACGACGCCGACCTTAATTAACGTCGCGATGGACAATTTGTGTGCCTCGCCAACGTCGTCGGGTAAACGTGGCCTAACCTTATCATTAGTTAATTACAGGGATGGGGGCTCTAATAGTCGTTGCTTCTCAAAAGTTCTGGAAAACCTTCTCGCATCTTCTATATATTAATTCCACCGACTGGACCCAAGTAAGTTATAAATTTGCAAATGTAAGGCACAAATATAAAAAAAGTGATTCGACCAATCCAATTACCTCTACTCTATTTACCTAATTTAAACTGGCAAGTCTTGTCAAGAACCTCGAAGATATGTAATTCGTTGCAGATTTATAACAAGGTGTCTGCACGTGAATGCATTGTGAGGATCCCAGGTGAAATGTAGCGAGTCACTCCCTTAAAATTATACCACTATTGTGACTTCAGACTCTCGTAACGAATAATGAACGGAATTGCGATTGAGTAACAAGAAGCTATGTACTCGAGTATTGTGGAATCCTTTTCCACTATCAGACGGTGCATTCAGGTTTGCGCAATGGTTTCTCACCGAGCGATCGTAGAATCCGGTGCATTCGAATTTCCGACCGCGGATCATATTCATAGACAGCTCATTTAATGGCATAATCGACCTCGTCGCGTCGTCGCCCCTGGACTAATTCGCTCGGAAGAAGCTATCACGGACGGATAATCTTTTCTTCGACAGAATTAAATTATTAACGAGATCGTCGGAGGCGTAAATGGTTATCGATTATCGGGAGGCCTCCAACGGCGCAGAAATCATTTGCGTTCAGCCGTCACGCGGAAGAATTTTGCCCGAGTTTTCCAGGCCATGCAGAAGGTGATCAGGAACACCTTGTACTCTGATTTTGTATGTACGGTCTCGCGTTCTACTTGTCGCGGCTTTAATTGCATCTTCGGACTGCAAACGATCTAATTATCCGTGAATTGGAAATCGACGACGAACGTCGCGCTCCATTAATTCCACGGGACAACGTCCACGGGAATCCCATTAAATCATTTTATCACTTTAGACGGCTACGCGCGTTCCAACCATGACCTTTCGTGGATTCATTCGAGACTGGGAAATTTATTAAACGATGCATCGATTCGACCGAAAATAATAAGTAAATTCAGCCTACGAGGAAAAGACAATTGAAGCACGACCGACCTTGAACCGCGCATTTCTGTGGTCCTTGATACGTCGGGACGGTCTGGTGATTTATAGAAACGTCCACCAGTGGCCAGGAACTGTAACAAGTCACGTTCAACGCTCGTAGCCGAATCGTTCCAAACGCTTCTGTTCCGGTTGCGAATCGTATACAGTGAGTCAGACGCCCAGACAACTTTCTATCTCTGGCTAGGAATTTCAACCGAACAATACATTCTGCAGACGTGTTTGCTTCTACCTTGTTCGTTACCAGAACCGCGAGTTATATTTAGATTTTCGCGGCGATTCGTCGGGAGTGCAGTCTGGCACTTTGATCCGAGAGTGAAATTGTTTATACAAGGAAGCAATTGGATCGGAATTAGAACACGCATACATTGTTTTTCTCAATTCAAGACCAAAATGTCGAGTGTGGACTTTGAGATCTCGCGTCTCTGATTTGAATCTCGAGTTTTGTAATTAGAAGCAAACGTCTAATGATGCGAAAGGTAAAAATCCCATATAGTTAACGGTACAGAAAAATTGCATAACATTGCAAGACACCGACCGCGCGTGCAGTACTCGTGTTCTGCAATGGCGACGCCCGACTGTAGAAAGACGCATACGAAATTATATCTAGAGCAACCACAAGTAACTGGTTATAAATACTCTAGACATCTATTTCAGAAACGGAGGAAATACTGCATAAAACTGACGTATCGACCGATAAAAGACTTTTATCAGCATCCGCAATTTTTATAGTAATAATAAATAACAAGTACGCAAAAAAGAACCGTAAAAGTATATTTTCGAAAAAACTTTTCGCTCTGCTTGAAATATAACTGGCGAAGATTTTACAATAAATTCCAAGCTGACGCGTCCGGTTCGCGAGATTCGCAAAATTCGCGAACTTCTCGCATCACCGCCGGAAGTGGACGTCTGGGTACTTCCGTTGCAGACGAATTCAGCTCATGGACGTTCGATGCGCGTGACGCAGCGAGTAAATTACAGGTCTGTTACTCGGAAGGCGGTG